AATTTAATAGCTTCCATTATTCTAATCAAAAGTTTTATTTGTCTCCAACAATGAGGCATTGTTTTGATATTAAATGAATCACAGTATGCCTCCACAGATACTTCAAAGCATGCACAATTCCAAATAACACAAAATGCTTAGAGAACTCTATAAATAGAAGATGGAGCGAGAAAGTTAATTAACATTTTGTTTGAAAAACACTGCTTCAAAGTAAACAAAGCCAGAAACTTATCATTTCAAAATGACAAAGTGATCATAAATAGAGTAGTCAGATAGTTCTTTGAGGATTCTGACAGCAGTAAGAATACAGACCTCAGAACAGGATAACTAAAATTTATTTTGAATCTGAAAATTTTGATTTCCTTTACATTGTTCATGTTGCCCAGATATTATGAAAGGGGTTTAAATTTTATTGCAATGATGTCTACAAAAACACACACACAACATGCATACAGATTCAGGCATCATTAGCATTTCCAATATATATTCTTTTAAAATTTAAAAATACTTTACTTGTTATCTTGTCATGAACTTTATGCTTTCATTCCCAAATGAAGCCCATTCTAAATTTCAGTTCAGACCTGTACCACATATACCTAATTCATTTTATTTAATCACTGAACAAACAATATATATCAAACTGTGCACATAATTCTGAAGGAAATAATAATGCAATATATCAGAGACAAGAATGCTGTCTTCTGGGATGTGACACCATATTGTCTAGTAGAAGTTTAGCAACGTTTTGTAGGAATATGTTGTGTCCATGTACAGAGTAGAGGAGGGGGAAAACCTTTCAACTTTGAACATGGAGGCACATTCCTCTGAAACCTCAGCATTTATGACTACATGATGTCACATCCCAGAAGATAACCATCTTCACAGTTAACTCCAATCTTATAAGCATGATTCTCTTCTGTACACCTAGGTCATTCATTTAGAAATGTCAAGAAAAACTTCTTTTTTCTTCTCCTTCTTCTATGATGCTACAGGCAAATATGGTCCAAGGCCTCCACCCTTCCATGTCCCCGAATCTTGTTGACAGAAAATTAAGACTCCTTGGATGGGGAATCGGCCCATCGCAAGGCCTCTACACATATACAAGACAACACAAACACAGAAAAACGGAAACATTAGTCCTGCGTCTAGTGGGATCGAACCCACGATTCTAGTGGTCAACCGGTAGAAGATAGTACACTCCTTGGACCTGACAGCCAATATAATGGGTTCATAAAACAATACCCTTGCATAATATAAAATACTGAGTAACTCATTCATCTTGAACGAGTTCATGATAGCATAATAGAAATAATCTGAGTAACAAATGTGAAGTTACTTCATGCAACAGCCATAAATAAAACTGGAAAAATGAAAAATCATCTAGTAGTCCCTTACAGAATACAAACACACATTCAAATTAAATGAAGAAAAAAAGAATTAAGCGATATATGACAATATAAAACATAGCAATGTGCGCAGCAGTTTCCGTTTTAATCCTCTCTATCCCCGACTTGTAACAACCGAACTACACTTTGGCCACTGCTTAATACAACATAATGCATTTACTGTGCTTCATACTATACTATTTCATTATAAACGTCGCTTTGTACGTACTTCTCTGAAATGCTGATCAAAATATATTACCACAGACACAGTATTACAGATGGGAAAAAGTGCGGATATTTCCACTATTAGATTTTATATTCTAATTTGCATGCACGAATATTTCAGATTTGCCCGCCACCCTTCACAGATGTCACCAGTAGCAGTAGAAGTATGCGATTCGGCAGAAAGATGGAAGCACTCATATATTCAACTAACGGCAACCCAGTTATATATTATCGTGGGTTGCATACACTCCAAGGGTTAAGCTCAGAGGACTGAAAGTTGAGAAACCTGTGGGATGTTTATCATGCACTTGTTTAATTAATGCCATGCAACCAGAATGAGTCCGAAAGGGTGTGTGAAAATATATTTCACAAACTTATTTATATATTTTGTACTTTCGGCTTCGTCATTGAGTGCTGAATTTCGATTTCAGGCAGGGAATTTTGTCATAATTTTCAGACTGGGCGTGGGGCTCTCCCAACCTCATACCCAACTGGTACTGTCCCCACAATTCCCGACTACCTCAATTTTCCCTAAGGAAAGATGAATAGAGCATGATTGTTACCACTCCTATTTAATGTCGAGGCTATGAAAGCTTCGAGCTTCACCTTGATTTCCTCACACGCGTGTATATTGTATGTTTAGGAACAGGGAGTGCGTTTTCTATCTTTCCTTTTACTAATTTAGTACTTATTTCTTACAAAAGACAGCATGACATGTAAGTGCTGAACTCAGTCATTCTACAGTTCTTACTTTCTATTTTTTTTTTTTTTTATTGCTAGTCGTGTGGGACTAAGTCCTTTGTACTGCGGCCATTTCTGGCCTATTGAACTAGCCCCAGATGATAGGTGAGGGTGATTCTGGAGCAATTGGTGGAATGAAGATTGGGGAAACCAAAATACTCGGAGAAAACCTACCCCAGCGCCACTTTGTCCACCAAAAATCCCACTTGACCAGACCCCGGGATCGAACACGGGCCGCCGTGGTGGGAAGCCAGGGACTAACTGCTTGAGCTATGGCGCGGCCCTACTTTGTATATAATCATAAATGTAACAATTACCATCCCAAACTGAAGGATGGCTCATTTCACATCGCTGCTACTGTCATCAATACACGTCAAGTGCACAGCCATGCTCCGTTACCCGGATCAACGATTTCGAACCGTGTCATAGTTCAGGCGCTTATTCGCTGGTTTCCCACCGCTGTGGACGGGGTTCGATCCTACGTTAAGTCATGTGAGGATTTTGGGGACAGGTTTCCCCTTCCAACTTTCATTTTATTTACTTAATGCTCCACAAATAAGAGATCAAATTGTAAATACGCAGTCAATAAAAAAAATTTAATTTCATCAACTGCTCCACATTCCGTAATCATCCTATCATAGACGCTACATGGCCTTGATACTGACAGCGTCGTTATATAACATGCATGCATCAGGTCATGGATAAATAAAGTTATATCAATATCTAATTAATCATCGATGAATACCAGATCCACTCATCTGTTCCTTCCGGACGAGCGAAAATTCAGGGCCGATAAATAGAAGAAAAAAAAATTGAATATATTTTACAGTGCTCTCCCTCGGTCTCTCATTAATGCATAGAGGTGGAACAGTAGGCCCTAAATGTGAACACCGGATGATATGGCTTATATGTATTATACAGAATATAAGGCAACGTACTTCATATGTCTTATGTGCTATTCGAAGGTAAATAGGTTCGAGAGGAAAAATTGCAAAGGCGTTGGTAGGCGCCGTTTCTCTTGTGGAAAAATGTCCGATGAATAATTTTTTCTTACTGATTAATATTTGTTAAATACTACATGGCACCTAGTAAAATAAAAATTGATATTGCATGTATTTTCAAATATATTATTAGCGATTTTTTCGTTGATCTTCCTGCTTGTTTATTATGTCCTATACGGTTCTTTTCACAGGGTCGACATACGTATGTAAGCTCGCCAGTTTTATCCCGTACAGTTTGGTATTATTATTATTGCTAGAGGGGTGAGACTAAGTCCCTTGTATTGCGGCCACTTCTGGCTTATTGTACCACAGTTTAGTATACAGTAGGGCCGCGCCATAGCTCAAGCGGTTAGTCGCTGGCTTCCCACCGCGGCGGCCAGGGTTCGATGCCGGGTCTGGTCAAGTGGGATTTGTGGTGGACAAAGTGGCGCTGGGGCAGGTTTTTCTCGGAGTACTTCGGTTTCTCCTGCCAATCTTCAATCCACCAATTGCTCCATAATCACCCTCACCTATCATTTGGGGCTGGTACAATAGGCCAGAAGTGGCCGCAGTACAAGGGACTTAGTCTCACCCCACTAGCAATAAAAAAATAATATATAGTACAAAGTGATCCTAAATTATTTTCGGGGTTTCCGTAGCCCGTAGTCTTCAAACTCTACATGCCACGAAAGGCACGCATGTTGAAATTGTTTAACATTCTGAAGTATTGATTCTATAAGTAATAAAATATTCAGTTAAATTTTCATATCCGGTAAGCAGTTTTATTTTATTTTCGGTTTGAAAATTGTACGCTACGAAAACCCCGACATTAATTTAGGATCACCGTGTAGTACACGGAAGCGTATCTTGAATATTCTGCAATGAGCAGACAGTCAAAAAGAATTAACATATCCGGTTACTACCAGGCGGGAGAGCTTATACCATAAACGATCATACAAATTAATCTCCATGGCATTACAATCTGTATTTCACTGTTGTGTAGTATCATCAAATCGCTTGCACATCGGAAACGCTTGCACCGAAACTCATACCAAAACTCTCTAGAAAACTGGAGCTGTGTTAGATGTTAGCATTTATAGGGGACTGCAATAGAATCTTTTGTTTCGTCTAGACACTAGTGCCCTGAACTCATCGGACTGATGTGCAAACGCAATAGCAAATTTGTAGAGTGTTGAATTTTGTTCACTGATATGTTGGGGTTTTTGGACTTCATCCATCGTCCTGGTTTTTAAGATAACAAATAAAAACACGACGTTTCGGAAACTGGATCTGTTTCCGTCCTCAGGTGAAGGAAAACACCTATCCAGTTGGGTCCCTTAGAAAGAGCTAGCCTCAATCACTGCAGTTTCCGAAACGTCGTGTTTTTATTTGTTATCTTAAAAACCAGGACGATGGATAAAGTCCAAAAACCCAACATATCAGTGTGTTATACTCCATCGTCAGAATCCTATAGTAACTAGTTGAATTTTGTTATTCTGTGTTGCATTGTGGTATTTCATGACTATTTTCGTTCCAGTACTTATCCTCTCTAGATAAATGCGAAATTTTAGGAAACAAACTTCTACCGAATGTTTTAATGACTTCAACAATGTTAACAAAATATATAAACTGACCTATATTGCTTTAATAGTTTCTGAATGCAACTTACCTTGAACGGTTGGCCGAAGTCTTTTGTCGTATCGTGTGGTTACTAACAGATTGTCCAGAATTTCCTTATCTGACTTCCCTTTTTCAAAACTGAAAAAGAAAAAATATAATTACCAGCAACTCAAGAATGGAAAATCATAACATCCTAATAAGAAGAACTGAAGCGAAGAATACGTATATCTGCGAGTGTTTAACCCACTGTTACACTTCAATGGCTAAAGAAATTCCCTCCATGTGGGCACTACTACACTGTATACGTGAGGTGGAAATCTGTATCAAATCTTGGAGAGATTTTTCTTATTTCATATAAGAATAACTTTATTCTCTCTTTCATTACAAGAGCACTCATTCTCCGTTATTATGCACACCTAATTCTGTACTTACACTCATAATACAAGAAGCGATGTGTCACCTGAACCTATCAAATCACTTACTCGCTCATGGAGCTGAGCCCTTATTGAGAAACCGCCAATTATGCAGCTACTCAAGAACTTCCCAGCATTTTATTGAAACCGAAAGTTCATTACCGTGTTCACAACAGCCCTCCACTGGTCCCTATCCTAAGCCAGATCAGCCCAATCCAACCCATTTTATCTCTCGAAGATCCATTTTAATATTGTCCACCCACCTATGTTTTGGTCTTTCCTTTGGTTATCCTATATGCATTCCTCTTCTCCCCCATTCGTGCTATATGCCCTGCCCATGTCATCCTCCTTGACTTGACCATTCTAATTATACTTGGAGAAGAGTACAGGTAATGAAGATCAGGGTCTGACTACTATTGGCCAGTCCCCTTCTACTGAGAGTGAATGCTGTATCTCTCTCTCTTCATCTCTGCAACATCCCGCAACCAAACTAACATAACTCATTGCCTCCATCTCTTCTCTTTCCGTTGGTTATTAATTTTAGCAATATCGACTGCGTTTGTTAGTTACAGCCGAATGAGATGGAAATTTTAATCAATAATGCATAAAGATAAATTTTAGATAGATATTTCGTGACTTATTTTCCAGTAATTTTCTATCAACCGGCTAAAGACACAGAGTAAAACTACGAAATAATTCCAATAGTAAAGCTAACCGATTCAACACTTCGAAAACTGCTAACTTTATATATTTATTTCTTTATTCAAGATCCTATCCGTGACTCCGATTAGGTGGTCTGACAGTAAAGTTCGCGAACTAATCGCGGTAGAAGTGCTACATACCTCACTGTTGAATAGTACCGTAGTTGTCTTCAAAGTACTCCCCTTGGGAAGCTATGCACCAATGCCAACGCCTAATCCACTCTTCAAAACAATTTTGGAATTTATTTTGTGGAATGGCCTTCAGAGCTGCCGTCGTATTAATTCGTACGTCATCAATGTCATAAAATGCCTTTTTTCAACATTTCCTTTATCTTCGGCAACAGAAAAAGTCATGGGGTGCTAGTTCCGATGAACAGGGAGTGTGTTCCAGCACAGTTATTTGTTTACTGCTAAAAACTCCCTCACAGACAGTGCTCTAATTCAAGCTCCGACATTTTCGCCACAGCACACTAAACACACTCAGACAATAATAGTCGCCACTCAGAAAGAAATCGCCATAGATCAACAACAACACAGCTGTGAAACGATGATATGCCAATGTGATCAAACAACACTGAGGTTTCTGTCCGCTGAGAGAGTGCTCTAATTCAAGCTCCAACAGTCTCGCGACGGCACACCAAAACACACTCAGACAATAGACGCCACTCAGAAAGAGACTGCCATAGATCAAAAACAACACAGCAGTGAGACGCTGATATGCCAATGTTATCAAACAACACTGAGGTTTCTGTCCGCTGAGAGAGTGCTCTAATTCAAGCTCCGACAGTCTCGCGACGGTACAAAAAAACACTCAGACAATAATAGACGCCACTCAGAAAGAGACTGCCATAGATCAAAAACAACACAGCAGTGAGACGCTGATATGCCAATGTTATCAAACAACACTGAGGTTTCTGTCCGCTGAGAGAGTGCTCTAATTCAAGCTCCGACAGTCTCGCGACGGCTCACCAAAACACACTCAGACAATAATAGACGCCACTCAGAAAGAGACTGCCATATCAACAACAACACAGAACTGAAACGCTGATATGCCAACGTCATCAAACTCTACTAAGGTTCCTGTCCACTGCTTCCACGGCAAGCACACGGTGACGATTCTTTATAAGAGTCCGTCGCAACACATAAAGAATTGTACATAATAACAGAACAGGATGCACGAAATAAAAAAAAAAATAATATTGTGACGAGTTCGCGAACTTTATTGTCAGACCTCGTATGCAGCTTCAAATGAAAGAATGATAGTGCAAAATGAATTCAAAGGGATGTGGAAGGAAGTGGCTATAGCCTAACTTAATATACTAACACGGAAATTGCCTTGAGGGACTAAATAAAAAAATACGAAACTTCTAAAAATAATCAGTGNTATTTTTTCTTCTACCCTGAAGATGGAGGCGATACGTTCCTCCGACACGTCGGTTAGCACCACATATACACGGTGCCAAATCCCAGAACACTGCTTTCTTCATAGTCACCGCCGTGAAAGCCTCAAATCTTACAATCAGTGTACTGTTCGGGATTCGAAGCTGACACCTCCCGAACACAAGTCATGTGTTGCCACTCAGGCTAACTTGATAGGTATCGAAAATTTGTTACATTCGGAACATGAGACACATGCATCACTCTTGCACAGACCTGCCTTCTGGGGCTGTAGTTGGTCTCGTCTGTCAGACCTGCTTTTGATGATAGAGCTCTAAATCGGAAGCGGCAGTAACATTACTGTCGCGGTTGTGAAGGAAAACTTTCGACGCATTTGTCGAACATTCAATCCCAACCTTCAGTTCGAAACTAACTAGATATCTCACGAACCGAACTCTTAATCTCTTCTCAACTTGTAGAAGCTAAGCTTCACGACGACCCGAGACCGGCGTTGCTTTCCCATGGATCTCAAGGGACGTATTAAAAAAAAACTCCGTTACAACAAACAGGACTCTCGAAACTTAAGTCCGCTGCCGAACACTGTGCATTGTGAACAGAATACTGCATCCGATTTTTCGTTGCCTGGCATTCCTTCCTTCCATTTACGCAGAACCGACTTCCGCACTTCACGAGATTTCTCTCGCTGTTCAGTCAGCAGCCGCCGGTTCTCTGAAGAAACGCGGGGCAGTTTAACAAGTTCCTCGTCTTCATGACGCCTCTGGACCGAATAGTACTTTCCCTCTCCACATACTGTTTACATAAACTGAAGATAATTAATCTTTTCAGTTAAAAAATTAATTTGTTCACGTAGTTGGTTGAGGCACTATGCTACAAGCCGGAAGGTCGCCGGATCGAATCCCGATGAGTCCATTAGATTTTTTCAATTTACCTAATCCTTCCAGCCGTACTATGGCCCTGGGGTCGACTCAGCCTCTAACAGAAATGAGTACCAGGAATATTTTTGGCGGTAAAAGGCGGCCGGCGCGTAAGGCTGGCGACCTTGCCATCATCTATGAGCCGATTGTCTAGAAAATGTGGGAACCTCAACAGCTCACAACCCTATGGGCCTCCGCGGCCTGTTACAGGGATACCTTTACATTTAATTTTTTTACACAACATCAATAATTCACAGAAATTCTACAGTTTTTATGTATAATGTATTCGCCAATAAAAAAGGTAAATTAATCCCTATGCTTAATCAATTGAGTACTATGCCATGAAGACATATGGGGAAGTGGAGGTATAGCTCCACCATTCTTTACCTCGGCATTAGATGGAGTTGAGTTGTCAGTTTCATGCCTTAGTTGCTTTACCGCCTGGGAAAAATCCCTGCCACCCACTGTGTATGAGGCTGGGTGGACCCCGGAGCCGGTCTGGATCCTGTAGGGGGAAGAATATTCTTGACCCTGCCGGGAATCGTACACCGGCCGTCCAGCCCATATCCGTCGCTATACCGACTGGGCTATCCTGGTTCGTCAGTTCATCTATAGTTCCGTATGTCCACAGGATAACACAGACACAGAATGAACGCAGACAGACACGCGTAACTCGAGTGGGATTCGAACCCACGACTCCAGTGTTTCAGCGGACGAAAACAGTTTACACCTTAGATCGTGCGGCTACTCTGATCGGCAATTTTCTACACATACAAAAATACATTTGAAAAATATCTTTCAGACTATTATAACCCACTTAAATACAAACCCCCTTCATAGGCTTGTACACGCTTGATAACGCACGCATCAACCGTAAAAATGAAATTTATAAAACAACAAACAAGTAACGTACTATATAACGCTGTGATACCGAAAAAGGCGCAACAGAATTTTAATTGATATATTTTAACGACTTTTTAAGAACTTTTATACAAACAAACTCCGTGGCTCCGGTCCACAAGCGAACTACACCGACCGCGCGACCGCCGCTTGTCGGCGAAGTTAGTGCCAACTTTTGTCGATAGAGTGTGTCACGTTGTCAGCGCAACGGACCCCCACGGCCGTTAATCTCGGTTTTCTAGACCGGAGCCGCTATTTTCTTGAAATAGCTCCTCAATTATCAAGAACGTCTATTTCTACAAAAAAAATAATTTCGAAAATTACCACTGCGTATAGACATGTGACACAAAATGGAGCATGCAGTCAAACAATTTTAGTAGGACTCACATGGAGCTGACGGCTGTATACGGTCGAAAATTTTCGTAGCAGCAAGTGTAAGAGACAGGCAACGAATGTGGCATTTCAGAAGGAATCATATATGTACGAAATAAAACCCCTTCGTTTCGGTATCTGACCCAATACAACTCACCGTTCTCATAAAATTAATGGGACAATATCACAATTTATATGCCTATAAACGATGCACGTAACCATGTTCACCGCTGAAATTTGTAGACGTCTTTATATAAGTTCTCACTTACGTTTCCATGGAAAGTGACAGCTTCGAACGATCGTTGTAATCCTACGAAATTTATTACGACTCTTTTCTTTGTAAATAGAAAATTACATCGAACAGCACAATTCCATGAAGCATTCCGTCTTCTGGGATGTGTCGCCGTGTAGATATTGTGTGAACCGACGTTTCGGAGGAA